GTTTTTTTTTTGAGACAAATGCTGTTTTCACTTGAGAAGGGAGTGTGTTGGCAAAGCATCTGCAATCGAACACAGTGAGGAGGCTACAAAATTGGGACACTGTGCAAGTACAGTAAAGGTAGTTGGTGTGTGCGAATCCAAATCTTTCCAAGAAGCATAAATAACTCTCAAAGGTGGAATTGGATAGTTGGGAAAGAGCATATTGGGTGTATTTGTGTAAACCTAATGTAATAGCTGGGTAGCAGTTGGGTAAGGTATTGCAGGATTCCCAAGGGCGTGCACAGAGAAGTTTCATCTTGGGTACTCCTAAAAAACATACCAAACACACGGAGGAACCTCCATTTTTCTGTTTTGCCTTGAATACCGTGGATGAGATTCTTCTCTTGAAGCTCAGAAGTCCAGGTTCTGCTGAAGCAGACGGTGAAAAGAGGGATGAACAGCTCCCTGAAGGTCCCTATTTCAGGGATGACCTATGGCACTCTATGAAGGTGCCTCTAGGAAAGAACCTCTCTCTCCCTCCATGGATAGTTCAGCCTGGACCACTGATTTAGCCTATCTGTCTGACATTGCAGAAACTTCCAAGTGTGTAAATAAATGTATTTGTATATGCAGTTCACCTCTGCTTTTTCCTCCATATTTCATTCCCAGCCAGAGCTTCCCGTGCTAAGTGGAGTTGCACTTGATTCCTGGTACAACCCACTTGCTCATCCCCCTTTTCCCAACTCGGTCATTTGACCCTGGCAGTTTTTCCAGGCTTCATCTGCAAGCCTGTGGTTCAGTATGGAGGGTGCTGGAGTTTGTTAACATAGTTCGTAATAGAAATAAAAACATCCAGGCTAAATTTAGGCAGCTGGGCTGTGTGAAAGGAACTACAGTGACCAGGCAGAATTGAGTTCTGATGTTCTGTATACAGGTTATGTTTTAGTAATCTTTATCCCTGAGAAGTTTTACAGGACTGAAGGGGAATAGAAGTCAGGAGTATAGAGATTTGTTCATCGATTTTAATCTCTTAAAGTGATTTCAGTATGTGTCAACTCAGAAGTTGTTTCTGTTGCCTTGGCTATTAAGAATTAGTGCTGTATGCACCCAGAAAAAAGTAAAATTTTCTTTGTACTCCTCTTTCTGAAGATGTATGTTATACTCCATGTTGAAGTAACTTGATGTCTTTTTGAATGAAAAAAAAAATGAGAAAGGGTGATATGATAGTTATCTTAGAGATTATTTTGATGCTGTGGTTAAAAGTTTTCCCCTATTTTTATACCATCAGAACAACTGTATCAAGAGTCAATTACAGTGTGGTAGTGTGTCATTAAAATACCCATTAATTTTGTTAAGTAGATAGGACTTTTTCCTAGAATTGGTAGGACTTTGATCTTGTTGCTTGGAAATCCAGGTGATTTTTCAGGTTGGGATTTTTCAAAGGGAGTTTCTCTTCTTAGCAAGAGGAGCATGTAGTGAAAACGTAGGGGAAATGAGCAATAAGCAGCAAATCACCTTCCAGTTAGTGGAAGAGGGGAACTCAGGTAATGAATGGACCTTTTTGTCTAGGCTGGATTTTCCTTTCAAAAAGAGGGAACTGTTTTGCTGCATTTTAATGGATGAATGGTTTGTGGGGATCAAAGCTGCATTGCAATGATAATGGTTTTGCAAATAGAAATTATCCAAGAGATGATTTATGGACCTTATGCTTAGTCACCAGATCCCTCTCCCCCCTCCAGCTGTGCAATCTGGATATGCTTTTTCAGTTTAGTACAGAGGATTTTCCCCAACAGATTACACAGAAAGAATAGAATAAAAAGGTCTGACAGCTTCACTGTTATTTTAGGGACCTGTTGATCCCTCTTTGAAATCAGTGAAATAGCCAGTAAAATGTTTGGGTTTTTTTTTAGCAGTGGAGCTCTTGGTTTTAGTCTGTTTAGAGCTCCTCCTTTGTGATGTGATAACTGGATGAAGTGATTTGTGTCATTTATAACTGGCAAGGAAGAGGTGCTGACACTTGACAGTTCTTTGGGATATTACACCTGTGGTAGAGAAAATGACTCGCAGAGAGGTAGTGAAGGTAAGAGGGGGAGAGCAGCCCTTCTTGTACATTCATCTAGAGCGCTGATTTGTCTCCAACCGTGGCCACAGGTGGGTTTTTGAGGAGCATAGGAACACAGTGAGAGTAGGATCCTCCTTCTGCACACTCTTCATTCTCCAGACATCTGTAGCACAGGGATTACTGAGGTGGATGTATTTTTTTTCACAGTGATGGCTGGACTTGTCCTTTGGAATTCGATGATGAGAAGCGTTAGGAGGTGTAAAACTCTTGTGGTTCTCCAGCCTACCTAACATGGCAGCTTGTTCAGTGAGGAACCATGTTCTTCTGTTTAGTTTAGAGCCAGAACTCCATAAAAAGTCCGATTTTTGCACTGGAAGTAACTTAAATAATTCATACGTACTCTCTCCATGACAACCATAGTTTTCTACAGCTCAACCTGCTCCAAGTGTTGAGTCAGTTTGGATCCTGCTGACCTCTGCATGAGGTAGAACCACTTTCCCCACCCCCAGTCATCCTATTTCACACCTAATTTCATTGAGATTCCTCCTGAATTAATTGATGTATGTTTTATGTCCAGTCAGTAATGTACACACAGTCCTTTTTCAGTTTTTCCCACTCAATTCACTGCTTTTGCTACTGTGAACAACTTCAGTATCATCAACAGATGTTGTCATCTCACTGTGTTGAGCCCTTTTCATGTCATTTATGAATTCATTGAACGGTGCTGGGAACAGATCCCAGCTCGGATCCTCATGGAGAGAGAAGAGCTGAAATGGCACCAAGTCCTGCCAAAAGCAGAGAGAGTGGAGTTTGCCCGCTGCTGCACGTGGCACCGGCTGAACTTGTAGTAAAATCGCGGTGTTGTTTTGGTACACTTCAAAATCTGGAGTAATTGTAAAACACTTGGTAGGAATGGACAGCTTCATGTGCGAGATACGATGTCGTTCTTCATCACAGGATCGTGGAAGCCTGAAAAGACGTTTTTTAAGATCATGAAGTCCAACGGTATCAGCGCAGCACCACCACCACGTTCACCGCTAAACCATTTCCTCAAGTGCCACAGCCACGTTTTTTGAACGCTTCCAGGGATGTTGACTCCACCACTTCCCTGGGCAGCATGCTCTGGGGCTGCGTTATTTGTAATATTTCACCTTTGGAAGATTCGGAGGGGAAGGAGTTCTCCTCTTTGGGTGACTGAGGATGATGTTTAATATTCAGAAGGGACAGACTTGCTTTGTTCACAGCATTTTCCATCTTCTGAGTTTTTAGTCTCAGAAGCATCTTGGTTGGAAGTTGCGGGTTTGTCCCTCTCTGCACTGACAGTGGGTAGAAAATAAAGTTGAATAAGGTAAATTAAGCAACTGAATAAATCTTCAGAGTCATAAATACACTCAGGTTTTAGATGATCTAATGTAGGAAGTTGCCTTCACAGTAGAACTGTTACTTGTTCTTATTTTTTAACATTAACATAGCAAACTTCTAATGCATAACTGAGCCAGATCTGA